CTCAAAGGAATTTTTCCTACATATCCCTCAATATACTGATGCTGATACTGAAATAGGGGTCTTGTTCCAGTGATCGTATTTACTTCTTCTAAATTACTTCCTAGGGTGGCATTGTAGCTTAAGTCGGTTGACCAGATCTACTAGTGTCCACTGAGGTGCATTCCCGAGTGGTCTACGAAAGCATGACGGCGAGCAAATCTGATAACATAACTAGGCAAAGGGGTTTCTCTGGATGAAAAATCGAATCGAAAAACTTAGAGTTGTGATAGAGGAGAAAAACAAGGAGGGCTTTGGTTTGAACAACCTACCCAGTTTACGGAGTATCCCGTAATAATGATAAGAACAATGTTCAAGAGAGTGAGACAGAAGGAGACTGTGCCCAGAAGAGCAAATTCTGTGGGCGCCTCACATAAGTTATCAACGTAGAGGAGAGAGTAGTTTTGTATCCACCAGTAGTCACAGACTGGTGCGTTGGACACCTTAGAAGCATTCATAGCCGCAGAAGTTTTCTGAAAAGAAATTTAACGCAACCGAGGTTAGAGCTCTGATAAAAATTGTTGCACTAGCTGCAGCACACATACACAAACTGGGTCAAACAGTTTGAAGGTACCTTTCAATACCGAAACGCCTTTTAACGCACCCGATGTGAAATAAGCCATGCATAGTTACTATCCGGGACAGTAAAATACAAAATCAGCATTACAGAATTGCCATGGAATTGCACTGAAGGTCAAGTAGGATCAAACAAAAAAAGTTTTCCCGGTAAGAGGCAGGCAATATCAGTCAAAATCGCCAACAGTGTTTTCACGTAGCAAATATTACCCAAATGAGGTTGCGAGACCAACTAGACTGCCACATACATCCATGAGAACTTCTGCACGCCAATATTCTTGCTTTAGATTGCAGAACATCGCGATAGGTGACAAGGAAGCTCTGCACCGGGTAATACAGGTGCGTTTAAGCTGAATTCCAATAAGTATAAACATTCCCGTGTTTCAACTCTAAACCTAACCTTAACCCCAACGAGAACCTTACCTTGACTCTAGGCCTTATTTATGTCGAAGTTCGCGCAAGACCATTTGTTTGACAGGGGTCCTAATATAGTGTCTTACATAAAGCACTACTTAATTAGTTCTTACTTTCCATATTTGTTTCCCACACTCCTAAAGATTAAACGGAGAGTATTATTTGGCTTATAATAGGGGACGTAAGTATAAGACACTTTGGTACCTTATTGCAGGGCCCCCTGAATGGACCGCATGACAGATGCGCTCGACCGACCCGGGGCCCACATAGGGCACGGTAGGCCTTATTCTGGTTACGCTCTCATAACAAATGGCGGACATGGGAGAAGAGGGGCATTGGTTGCACAAATGGGTGCAGGCTCAGACACCAGACACCCGTAGATTTTATGGCACTCCCACTACGTGGGACCTGAACTAGGCCTTGTAGCGCTAGCCGCCTGCGCTCCATCCCATCTCCGGTCTTCTTGACACTGCATTGACACCGGGTTCGAATGGGGGATGGAGGAGAAGGTGTGATAGATGCAAAGCAAGGTTACTATCACTTAAAACTAATCCATGCTTAAGATGCCATCCCTGCACCACCATGTTATGGAGCACCCGGTGGACCCTGCCGGAATTGAAGGTCAAACTTTCGGTAGCTTAGGCAGACAGTATTGCCGGCAAAGACAA